ATCTGGTGAATTTTTGTCAGTGTTTGCCAAGCCATTGATCTATACCCGTGATTGTCTGCTTTTCTTCTGAAGCGTAGAAACTGCCTTGTGACGAAGAAAGTCAGTCCTCCTTCCTTCCCTCTCCCCCAGCCCCCATTTTCCTGGGTAGGGATGGGAAAAGAAGGGACATACAGTAGTGGTTGGGGCGAGGGAAGTCGTGGCTTTCTAAATAACTGGTAGCCCACCTTATGTTCTCCGCTTCCCACGCTCACTCCCACGCCCCATGGAATTGCCACTTAGTTCCTGTGTGTGTACACATGTGCAGACACGTTTGATGAAGTAGAGGAAAGACAAGAGGGGTCACATAACCAGAGCATACAGTGTTGATGTCCTTTATGTCGTGGCCGGATTGAACGGCCCGGCCCTGGCTCACGGGCTCTGAGAATGTCGCCTTGTTCCCCGGGAACAACCATCAGTCTGCCCGCCCTCCTCTGCGCTGGTGGAGGCGCAAGCAAGGCTTTCTAAAGGCATATTGATGACGGCTTTTTGCAAACGTTGAATCGTGTTTTTGTGTCTAAATTGGGACTTCTCGGTTTCCCCTTCTCGCCCTAATTTGACATTAGAATTCTTTCTCCCTGCGTCAGGCCCTGTGCCTTTGACTCGCCACAGGTCACATCTGTTCCCTTCACTGTCCACACACAGTGTCTTGGGGAGTAGGTGGCTAGAGTGTGGGCTGAACCCAGGACCTGTGTGTTGCCCACCTGGGCTGGGTGCTGGGTGTCAGCATTGGGGTAATTTGGGGAAACGCAGCCAGCAGGTTTGCTGGGAAGTTTGGTAGGCTCAAAAACAAAGCAAAACAAAAAAATTCTCAGCATAATTTTGTCCAAAATTTCTTCCATAGCTTTACACCAGAAGGAAGGAATGGGCTGTGGCAGGCAGGTGGGAAAAGGGGGAGGCAGGTATAGCTTTGGGGTTTAAGCCTGTAAGGTCACCCCAGCTCCCCTCAAAAAGAAGGGCCTGACCACACCCAGGAGGGAATGGCCCTAAAAACATTATTTTTATACATGTGGGGAAATGAACATATTTTTTCTACAAAATTAACTTCTGAATTTATCAGTGTTTTAATGTTAAAGGAAAATATTTCTCTGTAGTAAATATTTATTGGAAGATGACTTTTTAAAAGCTGCTCTTTGCCCTAGCTTAGTTTCGTACACTGATCTATCAATATTTTTCTATGCCGGGCGGTAGACTGTCTCTGTCTCTGATGACCAGGCTGACCCCTCTATGGATACCAGCACTGAGTAGCAGCCCCTTACGTCCTCAAGATTTGATTAAAATCCCCGCCTCCCCCTCCCCACCCCCTCGCCGAGGATGGGAGTGTTGGGGAAAGGTGGAGAGGAAGCCTCGTTGCCCCTGTCACCCAGGCACCTTGAGTGCCAACCCTGGTGGCCCCAGCAACCCCAGGGGCAGGGAGTGACATGCTTTGAGATGAGCGGTTGGCCCAGCCCCAGGCAGGCCAAGGGCTGAGCTCTCACTGCATAGTTAGCACCGGGGTGGAGAGAACGGGTGCCCAGGAGAGTGGCTGCCCAGAGCCTGGGGGTTCCTGCACGTGTCCCACGGCTGAGCTGTCCTCAGTTTTCCTGAGACCGTGTCTCCTGATAGGAGAGATTGTGACTGAAAGGCGCACTCACTGTCTGCATATAGCTTCTCTCTCCTCCCTGTTCTGCAAACCACAAGGAGAGGCGACGGCAAGTCTCGACTGCCTCAGCCCCTTGCTCACTCGCAGACACACACACACAAGTCACCAAAACGTTTCAATGTACGGTGTGTGCAGGGCTTTGTAGTGGGTAAGGGGGGAGACTAAAAGTGAATATAACTTAAAGTAGAAGCATACTTTTTTATAATTTTTCTTTATAAAACTTTGTGAAATTATTTCAGATACATATTTTAGTCTTGATGCAGATTAGTATATAGCCGCCCAAAAAAAGTATTGTGTACAATTTGGGATAGTCACAAAATTGTGTATTTTATGTTACAATAAATACTTCCTCTCAGTGGACAATATGGAGTCCTCTTTTTATTTCGTTCCGCCAGGTGCTGAGATAGGGTGGTTTTGACGGGGAAATATTTGAAATCATCAGTGTGACTCTGAAAAAAGGAACTAGTTGGGCGTTGGCTGCCTCAGAGCGTGTGTGTGTCACCAGCTTTGATGGCTAATGGGGGCATTTCTTACCTTTCTGTTTATATGAGGTTTTGAAAATTAGAATGATAGTCTTTATCTCCTATTCCTGTTAGAAAGCTCATCCTTAAAACTCAGCATGTTCAGGGGACTTCCCTGATGACCCTGGGCTAAGACTCTTGAGTTCCCAATGCAGGGGGTCCCAAGTTCAATACCTCATCAGGGAACTAGATCCCACATGCTGCAACTAAGAATTCACATGCCACAACTAAAGATCCCTCATGCCACAATGAGATCGAAGATCCTGTGTGCTGCAGCTAAGACCCGGCACAGTCAAATAAAATTATTTTTTTTAACTGTCACTGGGGGCTTTGCTGGTAGTTTGGTAGTTAACAGTCCACCTTGAATGCAGGGGACACTGGTTTGACCTCTGGTTCAGGAAGATCACACATGCTGCAGAGCAAATAAGCTTGTACACCACAACTACTGAGCCACACGCTGCAACTACTGAAGCCCAGGCTCCCAGAGCCCGTGCCCCGCAACAAGAGAAGCGGCAGCAGTGGGAAGCCTGCGCACCACCGCTCAGAGTAGCCCCCGCTTGCCACAACTAGAGAAAGCCAACCTGCAGCAGCAAAGACCCTCCACGTAAATAAAATTACGTTTATTTACCCAAACGTAAATAAATCTTCAAAAGAGAAGTATCACCGATAAGGTTTAAAAAAAAACAATGATGGAAGAGGTAGGGAAAATCTGAAAGGCTACAGCTAACAAAGCCCAGGGAAAGGGGACAGTGTCAAAGATAGTAACTGGGAATACTGTCTGGGTTTGGCACTAAAGGGGCTGTTGATGACCTTGGTAAGAACAGTCTGTCAAGATAGGGACACAAGCTGAGTTGCAGAGCACTGAAGAGTGACGGGAGTTCCACTCCTGGTGTGACAGCATGAACAGCTCTACACACCCACCCCCGCAGTGAAACTGGTGACCATTGTTTTCTGAAACCCACCCGTTTGAAGTCTCCTAAGGGTATGCAGCAAATGAAGAAATGTTTACTCAAGAAAATACAAAATGTGGTAAGAAGAGTGAGCGTGGTGTTTGAACCAAGACCCAGAAGGACAGAAACTCCAGACCAGTGCAGCCAGGAACACAGAGCTCTCTCTCCCCATAGCTCCCAGTCAGAGGGTTACCATCTGGGAAAGCCAGGATGCCAGCTTTTCTCATCCTGCCCCCAGCCCCCTGTAGCTAATGCTAAGTTCTGGGTGATACTGCTGAAAGGTAAGGTACTCCCTTCTGCTTGGCCCCTTCTGGTAGGATGGATACTTTACCTTGGGCCAGTGCTGCTGAGAGTCCGGGAGCCCTGATCACATTTGCCCAGGTCGATAAGGTAGTGATTCCACCATGGGAGAGGCAGGCCGGGAAGGACTGAGGCTGCTGATCACCCCCACCCCTCAGCTTTTTTTTTTTTCCTTTTTTGGCTGCACCTTGTGGCGTGTGCAATCTTAGTTCCCCAACCACAGATCAAACCTGCACCCTCTGTGTTGGAAACTCATAGAGTCTTAACCACTGGACAACCAGGAAAGTTTGAGCATTCAGCTTTTGAAGTGGGCCCATCACTCAGAAGTGTGCCATCATCACACCCACAACGCCAGAGCTAAGGCTCAGAGATTTTGCTCCAGTGAGGAGAGGCAGGTTTAAAACAGAGGGAACTGACTCCATTTGCAAGTTCAAGCTCAACTGTGCTCTCAAAAACTGGAGGTTGTGGTGAAAGGCTGTTGGCAGGAGACCCATAGCTTCATTGAAGACAGAAGCCAAACTGAACTGGCTAGTTTACTAGAAATGGGGAAAGATAAATCAGGAAGGAACTTTCTCTCTTGGGGTCAGAACAAATCTCAAATACTGACCTTTGAAACTATCCCTTCAAAGAAGCCTGCGTTTGATTGGATCAATTTGTGGAGTCCTTTATTCCCCAGCACATTGTTAGCAGATCAGCCAACATCTAGTGTGGTGTTAACAGCTGGGTGTGGTCAGGGAAAGAGACACAGAGATCCTTGCAAGTCACTGTCGTCTTAGGGTGATTATGGGCTTAACTCGGGTCTGCACCCACCTAAGGAGCAACATCAGAGGCTCCACACTGTGTAGCTGGGTGGGCAGTGGGGAGCAGACAGACTCACTAAAATAATCCCGCCACTCACTGAACAAGTAAACTTGTTTACCTGGACCAGAAACAAAGAATTGCTAAAGTGGTTTCCAAGGTGGCTGTACTGTTTTACATGAGGGTTCTAATTCCTCTACATCCTTGCCAACACTTGCTATTTTCTGACCTTTTTGATTATAGCCATCTAGTGTGATATGACTTGAGTCAGTTCTAGTTTGCATTTCAAATACCTGATGACTAATGGTGTTGAGCAGCTTCATCTGAAGCCCTGGAAAATTCACAAATATCTGGAAACTAGACCATACACTCCTACAAAACCAATTGAAAAAGAAAATAAAGTTGAGGTAGTCACACTTAGCAATTTCAAAACTTATTACAAAGAAATAGTAATCAACGAAGTGTAGTGCTGGCAGGAGGACAGACCTATAGATAAGTGGAATAGAATTCAGAGTCTAGAAAGAAACCCGTGAGTCTGTGGTCAACAAATTTTTGACAATGGTGCCAAGACCATTCGTGCTGGGACAACTGGATAGTCACATGTGAAAGAATGAATCTGGAACCTTACCTTACATCATATATAAAAATCAATTCAAAGTGGATCAAAGATTTAAGTGTAAGAGCCAAAACTGTAAAACTCAAAGAAGAAAACAGAGCTTCATGACATGGGATTTGGCAAAGATTTTTTTGGCCATGAAGAGCCACCCTGAGGTGCTGATCGCCGAGGCCCTGGCCGCCAACGCCGGCGCGCTCATCACCAGCACAGACATCCTGGGCACCAACCCCGAGGCCCTGAGCCCGCCCGCCGATGGCCAGGGCCTGCCACTGCTTCCCGAGCCCCTGGGGACCCCCGCCCCCGGAGAGTGCCTGCTGCTGGAAGCCGAGGGCGTATCCAAGTCCTTCTGCGGCGGGCCCGAACGGGTGAGCCTGGTGGCCGACGGCAAGCTCTTCGTGGGCGGCGGGGGCGGCGCGGGCGCAGACGGGCTGGTCATGAACTCGGACATCCTCGGTGCTACCGCAGAGGTCCTGATCGAGGACTCGGACTCTGCGGGGCCGTAGCCAGGGGCGGACCGGGCGCTGGGACGGCTCAGACTTTGTATTTAAAAGACAAAAAGGACAAAAAAAAAAAATTTAAAGCATTTAAAAATCTAGTGAATCTCCGACATAAATCACAGCAGGATCCTCTATGACCCACATCCCAGAATTTTAGAAATAAAAGCAAAAATAAACAAATGGGACCTAATGAAACTTAAAAGCTTTTGCACAACAAAGGAAACTATAAGCAAGGTGAAAAGACAGCCCTCAGATTGGGAGAAAATAATAGCAAACGAAGCAACAGACAAAGGATTAATCTCAAAAATATACAAGCAACTCCTCCAGCTCAACTCCAGAAAAATAAATGACCCAATCAAAAAATGGGCCAAAGAACTAAACAGACATTTCTCCAAGGAAGACATACAGATGGCTAACAAACACATGAAAAGATGCTCAACATCACTCATTATCAGAGAAATGCAAATCAAAACCACAATGAGGTACCATTACACACCAGTCAGGATGGCTGCTATCCAAAAGTCTACAAGCAATAAATGCTGGAGAGGGTGTGGAGAAAAGGGAAGCCTCTTACACTGTTGGTGGGAATGCAAATTAGTACAGCCACTATGGAAAACAGTGTGGAGATTTCTTAAAAAGCTGGAAATAGAACTGCCATATGACCCAGCAATCCCACTTCTGGGCATACACACCGAGGAAACCAGATCTGAAAGAGACACGTGTACCCCAATGTTCATCGCAGCACTGTTTATAATAGCCAGGACATGGAAGCAACCTAGATGCCCATCAGCAGACGAATGGATGAGGAAGCTGTGGTACATATACACCATGGAATATTACTCAGCCATTAAAAAGAATTCATTTGAATCAGTTCTAAGGAGATGGATGAAACTGGAGCCCATTATACAGAGCGAAGTAAGCCAGAAAGATAAAGACCATTACAGTATACTAACACATATATATGGAATTTAGAAAGATGGTAATGATAACCCTATGTGCAAAACAGAAAAAGAGACTCCTATGTATAGAACAGACTTGTGGACTCTGGGAGAAGGCGAGGGTGGGATGTTTCAAGAGAACAGCATTGAAACACGTATATTATCTAGGGTGAAACAGTTCACCAGCCCAGGTTGGGTGCATGAGACAAGTGCTCGGGCCTGGTGCACTGGGAAGACCCAGAGGGATTGGGTGGAGAGGGAGGTGGGAGGGGGGACCGGGATGGGGAATACATGTAAAAAAAAAAAAAAAAGATACACTATGGTTGTGATAAAAAAATAAATAAATAAATAAATAAATAAAATAAAAAATAAAAAAAAATAAAATAAATAAAATAAAATAAAAATAAAAATCTAGTGAAAAAAAAAAAAAGTATAGGCAGCAGAAGGTAAATTGGACTTCATCAAAATTAAAAACTTTCGGGAATTCCCTGGCTGTCCAGTGGTTAGGACTCTGAGCTTTCATTGAACCAAGCCCAGGTTCAATCCCTGGTTGGGGAACTAAGGTCCCAGAGTGCTGCAACTAAGTATTTTGGTACTATGACACAGCCAAAAAAAATTTTTTAATTGTGCAGCAAAAGACACTATTGGGACTTCCATGGTGGTCTAATCTCTAAGACTCCATGCTCCCAATGCAGGAGGCCTGAGTTCAATCCCCGCTCAGGAAAATAGATCCCACAGGCCGAAAATAAAAGTTCGCATGCTGCAACTAAAGATCCCACATGCTACAGCTAAGACCCAGTCAGCCAAAAAAAATAAGTACTTTAAAAAAAGAAGAAAGACACTGTGAACAGAGTGAAAAGGTGATGCACAGAATGGAGAAAATATTTGCAAACCATATGTCTGATAGGGGATTAATAGCCAAAATATATAAAGAACCCTTCAACAACAAAAACTTTTAAATGGGAACATGACATGAATAAACATTTTTCCAAAGAAGATACACAGGCAGACAACAAGCACACAAGAGGATGCTCAGTTGTTAGGGAAATGCAACTCACACCCGCAAAGAGATGCCCATCGGGTTGGCTATTACAAAAACCAAACACTCAGAAAACAGCAACTGTTGAGGGGATGTAGAAAAATTGGAACCCTTGTACATTGCAGGTTGGCTCGTAAAGTAGTGCAGCTGCTGTGAAAACAGTATGGTGGTCCCTCAAAAAGGTAAATGTGTGAATTACTGTATGATTTAGCACTTCACCTTCTGGGAATATTCTCAAAAGAACTAAAAGGGGGGACTCAGATCTTTGTACACCTGTGTTTATAGCAGCATTATTCATAATAGCCAAACAGTGAATGTCCATCAATGAATGAGTGGATAAACAAAATATGGTGTGTATATATATTTATTTTTTTGTATATTTCCTTCCTTAAATTCTGACACACGCTACCACATGGACAAACACAGATGTTATGCTAAGTGAAATAAGACAGACACAAAAGGACAAATATTGTATAATTCCTCTTATATTAGGCACCTAGAGTAGTCAAATTCATAAAGACAGCAAATAGAGTGATGGTTTTCAGAGGCTGTGGGAAGGAGGAGTGGGGAGTTAGTGTTTGATGAGCACAGAGTTTTAGTTTAAGAAGATGAAAAGTTTTGGAGAGAGATGATCGTGATGGTTCCACAACAATGGGGATATACTTCATGACACTGAAGTGGATAACTAAATATGGTTAAAATGGTAACTCTTATGTATATTTTACTACAATTAAAAAAATGGATCAAAGACTTAAATGTAAAAGCCAAGGAAATATAAGGGTAAATCTTCATGACCTCAAATTTGACAATATATTCTTAGATATGATTCCAAAAGCATAGCAACAAAAGACAAAAATAGGTTGTTAAACTTCACCAGAACCAAACATTTTGGACTTTCCCAGTGGTCCAGTGGTTAAGAATCCGCCTGCTAGTGCAGGGGCCCGGGTTCAAGCCCTGGTCTGGAAGATTGCACACGCCACAGGGCAAGTCAGCCCCTGCACCAGGACTGCAGATGCCCACGTGCCCTAGAGCCTGCGCTCCACAGAAAGAGAAGCCATGATGATGAGAAGCCCAGACACCGCAGCTAGAGAAGAGCCTGTGCGCAGCAGTGAAGAGCCAGCAGGTAAATAAATAAATACAACTGAAAATGAGTGCTTCAAGGACACTATCAAGAAAATAAAAAGAGGTGTGGGATCCGGGGTGGCAGGGAGGCTCCAGAGGGAGATACGTATTTTTATAGCTGATTCATGTTGTACAGCAGACGCTAACACAACATTGTAAAGCAATTATACTCCAGTTAAGAAACAAGTTTTTAAAAATAAAATTTTAAAAAATTTTAAAGATTTTTTTACTTCAAGTCAAAAAAAAGAAAGAAAATGGAAAAATATCCCATAAGATAGGAGAAAAATCATATTTGCAAATCATATATGTCTGATATATGGACTTGTATGTAAAATATATAAAGAACGCTTACAACTTAATAATAAAAAGACAAGTGGTCCAGCTAAAAATGGGTAAAGAATCTGATAAGACATTTCCCCAAGAAAGTACACAGAGGGCCAATAAACACATAAAAAGGTATGACATCATTAGTCATTAGGAAAATGCAAAATCTCACTCAAAGGGATGAATGAGGAGGGCAGGATAGCTATAATCAAAAGGTCAGCTAATAACAAGTGTTGACAAGGATGTAGAGAAACTGGAACCCTCGTATACTGGTGGTGGGAATGTAAAATGGTGAAGCCACCTTGGAAACCAGTTTAACAGTTCCAGTTAGTATACAACCCAGCCATTCCACTCACTGGAACACAGTGAACCCCTTGCATTCCATTTTTATGCAAGAAAAATGAAGATATATATCCCCAGAAAAACTTGTACACTAGCAGTCATAATAGCAATATACACAATAGTCAAAGAGCAGAAATAACCCAGGTTCATCCACTGATAAATGGATAATCAAATGAGTTTCATCCATATGATGAAACATCATTTGGCGATAAAAAGAAAGAACTACATGGAAGAACCTTGAAAACATGTTAAATGAAAGAAGCCCAACTCAAACGATCACATATTATATGATTCCAATTACATGAAATATCCAGAATAGTTAAATCTATATAGAGAAAGTATATTTGTGGTTGCTTAGGGCTGGGGGGTGGAAGGTGGGAAGGGATTGGGGATTGATAGTTAAAGGACCTAGGGTTACTTCCATGGTGATGAAAATGTTAAAAAAAATTGACTGTTAGCATTCATACCTGTGAATAGACACCAATGAATCACACACTTTAAGAGTTAAGCTGTGATGGGAATTCCCTGGTGGTCCAGTGGTTAGGACTCAGTTCTGACACTGCTAAGGACCCTAGTTCAATCCCTGATCAGGGAACTAAGATCCCGAAAGCAGCATGGCCAAAAAGAAAGAAAGAAATTAAATTTTAAAAAGGCCAGTTGTGAGAAGAGAGAGTGCAATATGGTGAGGCAGTTGAGGGTGAAGGGAGAGTGTCTGAGAGCCTGGATGGAGAACACAGCGGGAGAGAGGGCTTCACGAGGGATAGAAGAACCCCGTCCTGAGCACAGCTTCTCAAGTTTTTCAGTATCAGTGGGGATAGCCGAGCTCTGGAGAGCACCTTACTCCAAGCTGCAAAACTATCTCCTGCCATAAAGATGGGAGAAGTTTGTGTTTCCTGGGATAAAGCCAATAAACTAACACAGGTGGGGACCCCAATTACCAGGTAAAGTTATTTATCTTGAGAACATGTGTTAACAGGTTGTGTCTGTTGGGCCCTAGCTTTAAAAGGGAGTGATACTGATAAATCTATTGGCAGGAAACAGACGTAGAGAACGGTCATGCAGACACAGGGAGAGGGAGACGGTAGGATGACCTGGGAAAGTAGCACTAACATTTATATACAATGTGTGCATGCGTGCTAAGTCATGTCAGTCATGTCCGACTCTTTGTGAGCCCATGGACTGTAGCCCGCCAGGCTCCTCTGATTATGAGATTCTCCAGGCAAGCACACTGGAGTGGGTTGCCATGACCTCCTCCAGTAGTTCTTCCTGACCCAGGGATCGAACCCATGTCTCTTATGTCTCCTGCATTGTCAGGCAGGTTCATTTCCCCAAGAAAGTACACAGAGGGCCTGTGTGCTTTACTACTTTACTTTACTTTACTACTAGCGCCACCTGGGAAGCCCAACATATATACACTACCATGTGTAAAACAGCTAGCGGGAAGCTGCTATATAGCACAAGGAGCACACCTTGGTGCTCAGTGATGACCTAGAGGGGTGAGTTGGGGGAAAGGGAGGGAGGCTTGACAGGGAGCGGGTATATGTATCCATATAGCTGATTCACTTTGTTGTACAGTAGAAACTAACATAACATTGTAAAGTAATTTTACTCCAATTAAATATTTTTAAAGCTAAAAATAAAAAGGTAATAAAATGAAAAAAGAAAGTAAGCCCATACAAAATCAGGATGACAAATTAATAAATTATAACTACAAAAAAAAGGGGGGGGGGGAGTGAGATTCTTTTCTGTTTTCATGGTCCCACTAGTTCGCCTGTGATGCATCAGACGCTGCTTTAATGTTTATCCAATAACAAAAGGATTTTCTTTCTCTACTACCTTTGTGGAGGGCAATTCTAGATTGGAAAAATGTTGCTTTTTGACAGTGCTCAAGTTTGCACCTGCTCCAGGGTGGGATGTGCCCCACTCCCCGCTCAAGCTGATCTGAGACACTCTTTTCTGCACTCAGGTTTCTCTTCCTTCACCGGCACGAGTCTGAGGACCACTCTGCATGCCAAGTCACTTCAGTCGTGTCCGACTCTTTGCAACCCTATGGACCACTTTCCTCTGGCTACAACTTCCCTCCACCTGCAGGCTTGGGCCACCTCCCAGCACCGCGGCCCTTAGGCAACCTGTCCCTTTAAGAGCTCCCCCTGCCCCGCCTCCAGCTCCTCCCTCAGACCCAGGGGCGGGACTTCCCTTTAAAGCCTGGGCTCCATCTTTCTGGCTAGTTGTGTACTGAGGCTGTTCCGGAGCCTTGAGGGGCCCCTGGGTGCCGGGCAGAGGCACAAGTGGGCTGTGACAGGTGCCTGTGGGACATGGAACCACTGCTAGGGGCTTAGGGCTTGGGGGGTGGGGGGGGAGTGGGGTGACGGGGAAGGGACAAGATACTGGGACAGGGTGGATCCTGGACACAGCAGAGCCTCTCGGGAGTAGACCAGACCTGTCATCAGTTAAGTAACTGCTCTGTGCCAGGTGCTCTGCCGTGCCCTCTGTGCTCCTTCTCAGGGGTATCATTATCCCCATTTTTCAGATGGGGCAAGGGTACGGAGCTCAAAGCAGCTGACTGAGTGCCCCAGGGCCAGACAGCTAACCAGGGGCAGAGCCAGGATCTGAACTCAGGTCAGTGTGACCCCAAAGCCTTGCCGTTGTCTCCGCCACATCACGCAGGTGACAGGGGTCCAGGCTTCTTCCCCAGCTTCCCTTTCAACTTGATTTTCCTGTTCTCGGCAGAGTGAGGGGAGAAAATGGGTTTCTGCTCCTCCCTGCAGTACCAGTACTTGGAGGCCTTCCTCCTTCCAGGAGCTGCTTGGAGATGCTGCTGCTGCTGCTGTCCCTGTTGCTGCTGCTGCCACTGGCCGTACTCCTGTGGCGGCCGCGGTCCTGGGATGCCAGGCAGTCCTGGCTTGTCCGCCTCCAGCACCGTGTGGCGTGGGGGGCCCTGCGCTGGGCAGCCGCCTGGCAGCAGAAGAGACTAGCGCAGAGCACGTTGCACGCGGGCCAGAGCCAGCAGCAGGCCCTGAGGCGGTGTCTGCATGGAGCCCAGGGTCCCCGTTGTACCCTCAGAGGGAACACAGGTGTGTTTCCCAGGGTCTGGGGACGTGGCCCAAAGAGAGGGAAACCCCACAGGAGAGTCAGATTCCAGAACCCAAAGACCACCCTTCCCCATTCTACCACCAGCACAGAGAGAGGTCTGACCTAGAGAACCTACCCAGGCTGGATTGTTCAAGATGAATTTTGCCATCCTGGCCCCTGATAGCCTCTCTCCCCTCAGGCCTGTTCTGGATTCCTTCCTTGAGGGTCTCACCAGTCTGGCCTGAACCCTTGGGAAACTCTGTGGCTTCATGGGGATTTTATGATGTTTTGGGGGCTACAGATATAAGCACCTTCCGGAATCATATCCCTCTGACCAAGGCCAGCCAGGCCCAGGAGGAAGAAAGTGGGGGGCAGCCCTTGCCCCCCACCTCAAACTGGTACCATGGAGAGGCCTCTCTGCAGGTAAATGGGGAATGCTGGAACCCAACCCCATCAGAGGTCCCTAAGTGCAGCCAAAGCCTCCCATCAGGATGGGAAAAAAGTAAACAGCAACAAAAACCTCAAAACAAAACTGGGGGACTTCTGTGATGGTCCAGTGGTTAAGACTCCCCGCTTTCAGTGCAGAGGGTGTGGGTTCGATCCCTGGTGACCAAAAAATATATATATATATATCTGGGGGCTCAGAGTCTGGCTCAGGCCCAGGGCCAACACTGTCTCTTGTCTCTCTCCAGGCCACCTTGCTGGGTCTGGCGGCCCTAAACAAGGCCTACCCAGAAGTGCTGGCTCCAGGAGGCACGGCCCGTGTGACTGCTTCCTCCCCTTGGCCCTACCCTCTCCCCTGGCCTTGGCATGCCCTGGGCCAGATGAGCCCCACTGGAGCCAAGGACCGAAGGATCCTGCTGCTGGAGGCATTGAGGTCCCCAGGGCTTCGGGCTCTGGAAGCTGGGACAGCCACAGAGCTCCTAGATGTCTTCTTGGACCTGGAGGCCCACGGGGAAGAGCTGGCTGAGGCCATCGCTGCTGGGAACCCAGGAGCACCTCTCCCCAGACGGGCAGCTGAGCTGCGGGAGGCCCTGGAGCAGGGAAACCGAGGACTGGCCCTTCGGCTCTGGCCAAAACTGCAGGTGGTGGTGACTCTGGACGCAGGAGGCCAGGCTGAGGCTGTGGCCGCCCTGGGGGCCTTGTGGTGCCAAGGGCTCACCTTCTTCTCACCCGCTTACGCTGCTTCTGGAGGTCAGCAAGACTCAAGGGTGGTGAGGGGCACACAGCTAGCTGCCAAGTTGTCGTTCAGTTGCTAAGTTGTGTTTGACTTTTTGCGACCCATGAACTGCAGCAAGCCCTATATAGTCATCTCATTGATTCCTCCCCAATACCAGCAGCTCCATTTTACAGATGAAATAACTGAGGCTCAGAGAGGTTAAGAGACTTACATAGATTTAAACCACACCAACATTTTCTCCAGGTCCATCACCTCCAGAACCACTGCCTCTTCCCAATTAGGACCTTAGAAGCAAAGGGCTGAGCCTGGGGGAGCCGGGAAGGATGGAGTGGAGGGGCAGCAGGGGGATCAGATGCTCAGGGGGTTGGGGCCTGGCCGATTGCCTAGCAGATGAAGAGGCTGCTTGCTCCCCACAGGGGTGTTGGGCCTGAGTCTGTGGCCAGAGCAGCCCCATGGCCTGTACCTTCTGCCCCCTGGAGCCCCCTTTATTGAGCTGCTCCCTCTCAAGGAAGGAACTCGGGAAGAGGCTACCCCCACTGTCCTGCTGGCTGAGGCCCAGAAGGGCAAGGAGTATGAGCTGGTGTTGACCAACCATGCCAGCCTCACCAGGTGACCATCTTCCCGCCCACCTCTCCCCATCCGCCACCTCAGTCCTCCTGAGGTGAACCCAATTGAAGGCCACGGGCATGCTGTTGAAGTTAATGGGCCCTTGGGCCTGACCTCGTCCCCACTTCCTCTTCATCAGGTGCCGGCTCGGTGATGTGGTACAGGTAGTGAGTGTCTACAATCAGTGTCCAGTCGTCAAATTCATCTGCAGGTAAGTGACCCCCCAGGTCACTGAGGGACCATGCCTGTGCCCTGGGTTCCTCTGCCTCCTGCTTCCTTCTCCCCAGGCTGGGCCAGACCCTGAGTGTTCGAGGCGAAGACACTGGTGAGGATGTGTTCTCTGAGGCCCTGGGCCGGGCCGTGGGGCAGTGGCCGGGGGCCAAGCTGTTGGACCATGGCTGGGTGGAGAGTAGGATTCTGGGTAAGCTTTTCCACTGGCTGACTATCCATCACCCGTACCCATCCCGCTGGGAGACTTCTAGGAAGGAGGAAAGACCCAGCCTTTTCTGCTGATCCTAACAAAAGTCCTTCCGCATATCTAACCCCCATCCGTCCTGCTGCAGTCTCTACCCATTTCCTTTCCATTTATGCCACTCCTTGCCAAGAAACTCCTTCTCTCGCCTGTGAACCTCGGAGTAGGGGCAGCGGGCTTGGGCTTTTGAAGATGCCCCATTCACAAAACATGTGTCCGTAATGGGCGGTTTGTCCACAGATTCCTCTGAGGGCTCCGCTCCCCACTATGAGGTATTTGTGGCACTGAAGGGGCTGAGGAACTTGTCAGAGGAAAATCGAGACAAGGTAAATGGGAGACAGGGACAGGACACGACTGAATGCCCCCCTCACTCTGCACACTGCCCCGTGTGTCGTGGGGAGGTGGAGGACAGGAGGAGACCCTCCCTGGAGCTCTGGGAAGGGAGGGTTGAGCCCCACAGACACACATGTACACGTGAAACTTCTAGCCACACACACCCCGGGCACAGCCGTGCGCGCCTCACCCACACGCCGCCCAGCCTCACACCAGCCTCACTTGAGCCATTCTGTTCCCAGCTTGACCACTGCCTTCAGGAAACCTCCACTCGCTACAAGTACCTGCGGTTCCGGGGCAGCATGGGCCCTGCCCAAGTCCACCTGGTGGGGCAGGGGGCCTTCGGGGAACTGCGGACAGCCCTCGCTGCCTGCCCCTCGGCCCCTTTCCCTCCTGAGATGCCCCGGGTCCTCAGGCACAGGCCCCTGGCCCAGTGCCTGCAGAGGAGGGTGGTGTCCTGAGCTGAGGCCTGCCCCCGGCCCCATTCACCCCCATGGGCTGCCTCGCTCTTTCCTCTGGGGCCCCTCTGGATGTGGAGCCCTTGGCCAGGGTCTTCATGTGTCAGCTGCCAGCTGCCCATGAGAGCTGCTGCCCGTAGGGTTGCCTGAGCTAGTCCATCAGTTCCGAGGAGTTGACTTCAAGGACAGAGCAGACACCAGCAGCACCCCACCCGGAGCTCCCAGCCCACCCTAGAGGACACAGGAGTTCCAATCCCCACTGGCAATGCCTGTGCACCAGGCAGACTGGAAGTGCTGGAAGTTCAGGCTCCTAGGAGTGACCCCCAATTGGCATGGAGCAGGGGCTGGTGACCGCAGACCTCAGCTTTGTTGTCCCTCAGTAGAACAGCTCTGAAATGTATTCTATAGCATCTCCCTCCAAGGGTCTCCACTAATTGCCCGCAGTGGTAACTTTCTCATTAACACGGTTCTTACTGGTTTTCCTCCTGTCTCTCCTGTCCCTCCTCCCACGTGCTTTCTAGGGTCACCTGCCAAATAAACTTCTTACACCCAGAATCTTGGCTCGGGGTCTGCTTTTGGGGAAACCGGGGGCCGCATTCACTCTGCTTCTGCTGCAGCCTGGATTGCCCTCTTGGCTTCAGTTCTGGACACCAAGGCTTTCCCTGCAACTTCTGCTCCAAGCTGGGGCAGGCCCTGAGTGTGTGCCCTCGGAGAACTGGGGGACCCCTACCACAACCTAGGTCAACCTAGGAGACACTGCACCCCCTCCCTTGACCTCTCCCCATCCCAAACTTTCCCTAAGTGCAGAGGGGCTGCTCCCCAACTCCCCTTGCCCAGGCTTAGCACAATTCCCCCTTTCTGGCCCAAAACCCACAGATCACTTCCATGGGCAGGACTTATACTGCAAATCATAAAGAATCACAGCAGGAAGCAGCCCCAGAGACCATCTGGGTTGACTGTCCATCCTACCACAGGGGAAACAGGCTGGCCTTCAGTTTCAGCAGGGTTGTGGTCTTGTCCAAACCTCGTAGCACCTCCTAAATAATGCAGCACCTAATCCCAATCAGCTGCCAAGCCTCAGATTTTTTGTTCATTTGTTTGTTTTAATATTTATTTATTTATTTGTCTGGGCCGGGTCTCAGTTGCAGCATGTGGGGTCTAGTTCCCTGAGCAGGGACTGAACCTGGGGCCCCCTGCATTAGGAGCGCCCTGTTTAGTCACTGGACCACCAGGGAAGTCCAAGCCTCAGATTCTGACTCTGAATTACTACTTCTGAATCAGTTCAGTTTGGTCACTCAGTTGTGTCCAACTCTTTGCAACCCCATGGAATGCAGCATACCAGGCTTCTGTGTCCATCGCCAACTCCTGGAACTTGCTCAAACTCATGTCTGTCGAGTTGGTGATGCCATCCAACCATCTCATCTTCTGTCTTCCCCTTCTCCTGTCTTTAATCTTTCCCAGCATCAGGGTATTTTCCAGTGAGTCAGTTCTTCGCATCAGGTGGCCAAAGTATTGGAGTTTCAGCTTCAGCATCAGTCCTTCCAATGAATATTCAGGACTGATCTCCTTCAGGATGGACTGGTTGAATCTCCTTGCAGTCCAAGGGACTCTCAAGAGTCTTCTCCAACACTCAGTTCAAAAGCATCAATTCTTTGGTGCTCAGCTTTCTTTATAGTCCCTCACATCCATACATGACTATTGGGAAAACCATAGCTTTGACTAGACGGGCCTTCATTGGCAAAGTAATGTCTCTGCTTTTTAATATGCTGTCAGGTTTGTCATAGCTTTTCTTCCAAGGAGCAAGCATCTTTTAATTTCATGGCTGCAGTCACCATCTGTAGTGATTTTGGAGCCCAAGAAAATAAAGTCTGTCACTGTTTCCATTGTTTCCCCATCTATTTGCCATGAAGTGATGGGACTGGATGCCATGATATTAGTTTTTTGAATGTTGAGTTTTAAGCCAGCTTTTTCACTCTCCTCTTTCACTTTCAAGAGGCTCGTTAGTTCCTCTTTGCTTTCTGCCATAAGGGTGGTATCATCTGCATATCTGGGATTATTAATATTTCTCCCGACAATCTTGATTCCAGCTTGTACTTCATCTAGCCTGGCATTTTGCATGATGTACTCTGCATAGAAGTTAAATAAGCAGAGTGACAATATACAGCCTCCACGTACTCTTTCCTAATTTGGAACTAGTCTGTTGTTCCATGTCCAGTTCTCTAACTGTTGCTTCTTGACCTGCATACACATTTCTCAGGAGGCAGGTAAGGTGGTCTGGTATTCTCATCTCTTTAAGAATTTTCCACTTCCGGATTCCACACCCCAAATCCAGGCCCCTACCCCCACCTGCCTGGCCCCCACCTCAGCCCATGACTCCTTACTAAAGCTAAAATCCTACCATAGCCCCCCAGCACCTGTGGGATCAAGACTAATCAGCTTAGCTGATAAGACCCTTTGACCCACTCTGACCTCACTTACCTGTCCAGCCACCTCTCTCTTCTAAGAGAAGTTGTGATCGGTGGACCACACCCTGCTTCCTGCATGAGTTAAGCACGGTCACCTCTAGGTCTCTGCTCAGGCTGCCCCTTCTGGGGAAAGCCTTCTCTCCCAAGCTTACTTGATGGAAACCGACTTTTCACGCAAGGCTTTTGCGGAGTCCTCTCTCCATTGAGCTATACTTTTGCTGGGTCACCTCCCAGAAAAACTGGGCCAGGGCTTCCCTGGTGGTCCAGTGATTAAGACCCTGTCTGCCAATGCAGGGGACATGGGTTCAATCCCTGGTACAGGAAGATTTCACATGCAGCAGAGCAACTAAGCCCATGAACCACCACTATTGAGCCTGCAAGTTGCAGCTACTGAAACCCACAGGCTTAGAGCCCATGCTCTGCAACAAGAGAAGTCACCAAAATGAGAAGCCCAAGCACCGCAATGAAGAGACAGAGAGTAGCCCACCGCCCAGCACTCAACTATAGAAAGCCCATGCACAGCAATGAAGACCCAGTGCAGCCTATGCATGCTTAGTCACTGAGTCTGACTCTTTGCGACCCCATGGACTATAGTCCACCAGGCTCCTCTGGCCATGGAATTTTCCAGGCAAGAATACTGGAGTGGGCTGTTGCCACTTCCTACTCCAGGGGATGTTCCCGACCCAGGGATCCAACCCGTGTCTCCTGCATTGGCAGGCAGATTCTTTGCCACAGTGCCACCTGGGAAGCCCCAATGCAGCCAATAAATAAATAATAATAATAAATTATGGTTTTTTAAAAAAGAAAACCAGGGCGTGTCTTATGTACACTGTCGCTCCAGCGCCCAGATCAGAGCCTGGCACGGAACCGGTGCTCAGTAGACAATGCCCTAGATAAGAGAAACTCCAGCCTAGAGATGGCACATGTCCTTCTCCCTACGGTGGCTCTCCTCCTGCCAATGGTGTGATGGGACTCCATCCATCCCGTTGAGGCAGCCCAACCAGGTAGGAAGCTGGGGAGATGGAAGGATAACATCAGTTTTGGCTGGTGTCTTCCCACTGCCCAGGAGTGGCTTTTCAAGGTTCTCCATCTTGGAGGTTGGTGGAAGGGGCAGAAGGAAAAAGAGCCAGAGGGGAGGGAAAGTCAGCTAAAACACCTTTCCCACAGAAGAAGAAGGTCCTGAAGCTTCAAGGCCCCAGGGGTAGAGAAAGGAGCAGGGGAGAGAGGCTGTTGCCTGGCTGCCCTCCCCCAGACACACACATCCTACAGAGAGTGCGTCTCACCACAGCCTCCTTTCCTGCCCTTAATTAGCAGCTCCCCCTATGCATTGTCCCACGCCAGCCCCCAGGCAAGACCTCTTTTGTGCTCCCAGATTCCTAGGAGCAAGGTGGCCTCATTAGTGCCCGGAGACCACCCCATCTCCAGGGAGCAGGCAGACAGACAAGGCGGGGGACCAGGGGCACAGAGATCCAACTCAAGACTCTGATTGCCTTGGCGGTCATTCCTGGGGCCCAGCCTGGAGACGGCACTCCTGCGGAAGGCTAATCTTAGATTTGCCTTTGTCTGTTCCCGGAGTAGATGCAAGCACCCATCTCTCCCCCCCTTCCCGCCTACCTCCTCTGAGCACTATAAACCCCAGGCTCCTGCTAGCGGGTTGCAGTTGACAGCCTCAAAGTTCCTGGCTATTCGGACCACTGCAGATGACACCTTTCCCGGCTACTCCACTCTGAGCTCCAGACACCATGAATCCTTCCTCTACAAAGGTAAAGAACCAGCGATGAAGGGGTGACTTGGGGGCAATGAGACTGGAGACAGTGAGAATGCTTGCTCAGGGAGCTAGAAGGAAGGTTGAAAGTGTCTTTTCCTATATGGGTTCTGAGGCAGGGTACAGGGTGGACCCTTGACAGAGAATCTGCCTTAGCTAACACTGGACTGTGCCCTGTTCTCCTAAGAGTTCACGTTTATTGAGCTTTTACTATGTATCAGGTGCAACTTGCACCTGTCATCTTAGCTCATCCTCCCAGCAGCCCTGCACAGTAGGAATTACTTAATACCCAGTTTACAGGTGAGGACGTTGTGCCCCATGAAACGGTAGGAAACGGGTCCAAACCCACAGAATCGTTTCCCCTGCAAGGAAGCAGGTAGTCAAAACAACAATCTGGATCCTGCCAGTCCTTGATTTTCCCATGCCTGCCCTCTATGGGGAGGAGGAGCGGATAAATGGGGCTTCTGTTTACCTGAGCAAAGTCTCCATAAACTTCTGGGGCAGATTCAGACATGCCTGTTTCAAATGGAGTTGTCAGCGCTCTAATGAGGGTACAAGGGACCAAGGGCACCCAGAGGAGAGAGAGATTCATTCTGCCCAGAGGGGTTCAAAGAGCTTACTGGAGGAGATGCTCTGCTGGATCTTAAGGTCAGTCAGTCAGTTCAATCGCTCAGTCGTGTCAGACAGCTTTGAGCCGAGGCAGGAAGGCCAGGCGACAGCGAGTGAGAAGCGCCGGCCACGAGGGGGCGCGGAGCCAGCTGGGCAGGACCCGGACGTAGGGGCTGGAATGCGGGCGACCCTCAGCGCCCGGTCTCCGCCTTCCTTAGGTCTCCTGGGCCACCGTGACGCTGCTGCTCCTGCTACTGTTGCTGCCGCCCGCGCTGCTGTCACCCGGGGCGGCCGCGCAGCCCTTGCCCGACTGCTGCCGTCAGAAGACGTGCTCCTGCCGCCTCTACGAGCTGCTGCACGGCGCCGGCAATCACGCGGCCGGCATCCTCACGCTGGGCAAGCGGCGGCCCGGGCCCCCGGGCCTCCAGGGCCGGCTGCAGCGCCTCCTGCAGGCCAGCGGCAACCACGCGGCCGGCATCCTGACCATGGGCCGCCGCGCAGGCGCAGAGCCACCGCTGCGCCCCTGCTCCGGCCGCGGGTGTCCCTCTGAGGCCACCTCGTCCGTGGGACCTGGGGGACGGTCCGGGGTCTGAGCTCTCGCTCGGGTCCAGTCCTGACCCTACCCTGGCCCCTCCCTCACCCCCGCAGGGGAAAGAATAAAGAAGTGTCAGCTCGCAGGAAAAAGGGGAATAAAGTCTCCCTCTGTTAGTGTGGCTGCTGTCTGTGCCTGTGCGGTCGCGTCCCGCCCTCCAGGGGGCGTGAGAGTCTTTCGAACTGTAAAGAGCCGGACAACCTGGAGTTCGGTTTGAGAGTCTTTTTATTTTATTTTATTTTATTTTTTAGTAGTTGGAGGCTAATTACTTTACAATATTGTAGTGGTTTTTGTCATACATTGACATGGATCAGCCATGGATTTACATGTATTCCCCATCCCGATCCCCCCTCCCACCTCCCTCTCCACCCGATCCCTCTGGGTCTTCCCAGTGCACCAGGCCCGAGCACTTGGCTCATGCATCCAACCTGGGCTGGTGATCTGTTTCACCCTAGATAATATACATGTTTCGATGCTGTTCTGGTTTGAGAGTCTTTGAACCACTCTCGGGTGGGCGCTCTTAGGGCAAGAAACTGTGCAAGACCCTGGAGAATCGCATATGTGAGTGCTAGGAGGGGAGGGGGGGGGCAGACACGGTCCTCGGTGCTCCGCCAGTCATTCTGAATCGCCAGGCCCTTCCTGAGAGACGCGGAGGAAAGTGCCAGCAGAGGAGCGGGACGCGGCTGGGAAGGAGGGAGCCGCGCCCGCCGAAGAGGCAGGGAATATGAGGTTCAACAGGAATCTTCCGGAGGGCTACAGTGTGGGATAGGGCGTTTGGGATGGTGGTGAGGCACTGAAGGGGAGGCGGTTAGGCTTGTGCAGCCCAGATTGTGAAAGCCCTCACAGATCATCAGGCTTTGCACTTGATTCTGTAGGTAGCTGAGAGTCAGGAGAAGTTCTTAAGCAGGGATGAGGCAAGATTTTTCCAGCAATTTAAACGGAACACACCTGTGACAAGTTGAATTGTGCAACCCCTCCCCCTTCTCCATTTACATTTGAAGTCCTAACCCCCAGCTCTTCAGAACATGGCCTTATTTGGAAATAGAGTCTTTGAGGATGAAATTAGTTAAAATTCAGTCATACTGGGGGAAAAAAAATTCTATCATATGGGAGTAGGGTGAGCCTCTAATCCAATATGACGTGTCCTTATATAAAGGATTTGGACACAAATGCACACAAGGAGAATCCATGTGAACATGAAGGCAGAGATGGGTGATGCATCTACAAGCCAAAAAGTGCCAATAAGCCACCAGAAGCTAGAAAACAGGCATGCAACAAATATTCCCCCACAGCCTTCAAAAGGAGTCAACCCTGCAATCATTTTGGTCTTAGACTTTCAGCCTCCAGAACGAAAACAACAGATTTCTGTTGTTTAAGTCACCCAGCTTGTGGTACTTTGTTAAAGCGGCCCTAAGAGAGTGACTGATTTGAACTGATATAAGAACTCTCTATATTATATTTATAACTTCCTTGTTAATATAAGCCTGTTATTAAATATAAGGTTTATTAAAATATAAATAAAATAAAATATAAGGTTTATTCCCAAAACAAAAATAAATAAATAATAAAGCAGCCCTAAGAAACTAAAACCCAAAAGTAGAGATACAGAAAGATGTGGCATTTTAGCATATAATGTCCCAGATAATGCCCAGCTCAGACTTGGGGTGAGGGTGAGGAGCACTGGCCTGCCTTCTCCCCAGCCCATCTTCCCTTTGTCACTGGCTTTAGCTGTCCCCCCCCCACCCCCCCAGGAAGCAGCCACCCTAAGCCACCACACTCAGATGCCACAGTAATTTTCTGCTTCCATGGTGAAAAAAGTCCTGTGTCTGGTCTTACCTGGGTCCTTCTTGCTGCACTGGTTTCGTTTGGGGGAAGATGGAAAACAAAGTCCACCGGTGCACTTTGGGGATTTACAAACTGACTGCTCACCTTGAAACCATCTTTCTCAGCCCCAAATTTACCTCCAACCTCTCTTCCACTTGAATGGTTGCAAAGAGAAGGAGGGTTAAATCAGAATGATAGGAAGAGGGGGTGAAAAAGGAGACAATTGCTCTCCAACACACTGTGTGCCAACGATATGCATTATGCTATTAAATTCACACAACCATACGAGGTAAAAATTATTAGCTCCATTTGACAGGTGAAGAAAGTGATGCTGCTGGAGGCTGAGTCACACAATTAGTAAGCGACAGAGCTAGGATTTCTACCCAGTGGACTCCAGAGCTCTTTTCATCCATCCTGCTGAGGTTAGAGGCAGAGTTCGCCAGGGTGCCCTATGCAAACTAAGACACAGGTGACGGTTAAGTATTCTAGCATTTGCGTTTCCTGCCCTCTCATCGATCCTCCACCGGCAAAACTAACCTCTTTAACTCTGCTGTCTCATACTGGAGCGCAGGAAGCTGAGATTGCTGCGAGATATCCCAACTCCAGCAGGCGGCACTGTGAACCAGACACGAGTCCCAGCGTGGGCGGCTAGCGGGGGAACCCGAGGGGAGGAGACACAAGGAGCCGCCAGGGAAACACGCGTGGGGGAGTGGCCACCCTGGAAGATGGGCGTGTCTATCATTCAAGCCCCGCCCCATCCCTTGGCGCTTCGGCCTCGGGTGGGCGTGTCCCAAATTCTCTGCGGGAGAGACACGCGTGGGCCGCTCCCCACCCGGAGGAGGGCAGCGGAGCGGAGTGAGGGTGTCGCTGGCGGCCCCTCCCCGTGCGGGGCCACGTGGCGGGCTCCGGGCGAGCCCTAGGGAAAGAACCTGGCCCGTGGGGAGGTGGGGGGACCGAGGCGGCGCCGAGACAAGCGGAAAGCTACTGGGTTTGGAACAGAGAGGCGGCGGCGGCGGCGGCGCCGAGAGGGAGGGGAAGAGGCAGGCGGGCGCATGGGGCGCCCCGGCCCCGCCGGCAGCGCGCCCCCTCCGGCCCGGCCGCGCTGAACGCCCCCAGCGCTGCGCCTGGAATCTGCGCCCCGAGGCCATGCCGGTCATGAAGGGGTTGCTGGCCCCGCAGAACACCTTCCTGGACACCATCGCCACCCGCTTCGACGGCACGCGTGAGTGGGGTGGAGGCTGGAGCTGAGGGTTCGAGCTAGAGGTCAAGTCTCCTTTGGCCCTCGCGTGGGTCTCCTGGATGTGATGAGATAGACCCAAGGCGAGGAGAACGGGCTAGGAGGGTCTAGGAACTCCCAGAGCCCCAGTAAAGGAACAGGACTGGGAGCGCCCTGGGAGGGGAGACGGGGAGAGGACCAAGAGTTCGGTCAGCCAAGGTTGGGGGTGTGTGACTGGAGGCAGGAAAGGTTCTTTGTGCGGCAAAGCGGAGGAGTCCTTGAGAGCCGCCCACTCTCGGGCAGGGCTCTGCTGGGGGCGTGTACGGGAGTATCCAAGACGCGGAGGTGGGACGAAGTGGCCAGGTGCTTTGGGGTCTGCTCTCCAAAGACTGCAGCATCTCCTTCCCCCAGAAAAAAGAGAGAGAGAGAGAGAGACATAGAAAAGGTCAGACTTTTGCAGGACCTAGCTTGGATTAAGGTCACGCACCCCCAAATTGTAGCGCGTCCCTGTCTGGGGGAGGCATGGCAGGAAGGCAGGGGGTGGTCTGTGTAACGGAGAACTGCCTGCCCTCCAACCGAGCTTGAGTTCCAGGTTCAGCACCTTGGACAGCCACCATCCTGCTTCCCCTCCTCTTCTCCCGCCATTCCCTTTTCCTACTTTGGAACTGAACGATCTCCCCTTGCCCGGTTAGGACACCCAGGCTGAGATCTGGGAGGTGGGGGGAGCGGTACCTGAGGGCGGAAACCTAGCCGCCGGAGCCCTACCCGCCTCCCCACCCTGCCCCCACACACACCTCCCTTGTTTCCATAGTGCCTATCACCCAGGCAACGGACCTGGGATGGAAGAAGGAGGCTGCTTGCCCAGGGCCCAGCACCTCCCAGGCACCTTCAGTATCCCCATCAGCCGCTCCATCCCCAGACATTCACCCCTCCTAGCACCCCAGGTCTGGTTTCTTCTCAGATCCCTTCCTTCAGCTGAGACTGTCCCTGGATGGCCTACCGAGCCCCCCTGAGGCCTCCCACCCAGTGGAACTGGAGGGGAGCCAGCTCAGGTTCTGTTGCTGGGTTTGCTGGAGCCACAACTTCATTGCTCAAGCCTGTCAAACTCTGAGAACTGGGACAGACCCCCTGATCTTAGCTAAGGGATGCTAAAAAGAGGACTTTTCCTGGAAGGCAGGGAATGAGGATGCTACTCATCAGTCTTCCTCCCTCCACAAAGGAGACTGGATAATAAACTCTGTGAGTTTGGATAACCTCTGCTTTTTGGTTTCCTATCAATAAAATGGGTGTGATAATGCCAGAATCTGCCTTATCCAGGATAGCTTGTACTTTGAAAGCTGGGCAAATGTGGGGCATCATTTCACCTTCTCAGTGTAACATTCACTATGTGCTAGGATTTGCTCTTCCCAGGTAACCCATGTAACTCACACCAAAACTTTTGAGGAAGATATATAATCCCTCACTTTTCAGATAAGGAAGCTGAGGCACAGGGGAGTTCATTAACTTGCTCAAAGTTACACAGTCAGCAAGTGGCAGGGATGGGGTGCTGGAGCCCATGCCCTTATTCACCATGCTGTGCTGCCGCCTACAGTAATAGCTCATCAGCTTCAAGGCAGAAGTCATGACCTCTTGGAGTTCGTTTCCAACCCCCTAGACTACCCTGTCCCAGTTCCAAGCCACCCTTAAGTCCTTGTCCTTTTGCTCTATCTCTTCTTACTCTCATTTCAGGACATCCCAAAGGGGATCCAGGAATCCCACGGAAACCTGGGAACCTCCTGTCTTTAGGATCTCTGACCTCAGCTTGGGGGAGGTATGGCTCACCTGGAAACTGAGCTCCCCTCCTGGCCTTGGCCTGACCTTAACCCCTTCTTCCCACAGACAGCAACTTCCTGCTAGCTAACGCACAGGGCCCACGGGGCTTTCCCATTGTCTACTGTTCCGACGGCTTCTGCGAGCTCACAGGCTACGGCCGCACCGAGGTCATGCAGAAAACCTGCAGCTGCCGCTTCCTCTATGGTCCAGAGACCAGTGAGCCAGCCCTGCAGAGGCTGCACAAGGCTCTGGAGGGCCATCAGGAGCACCGCGCTGAAATCTGCTTCTACCGAAAGGATGGTGAGGGGATCTAGCCTGCCCTGCCATCCTGCCCAGACCCCAGACCTTACCCAGAGTCCACTTGAGACAGCAGAAACTTGGTTGCTGGTCCCCACACTGCCACAAGCTGACCGTGTGACACTGAGTGTATCCCTGACCCTCTCTGAGCCATGGTTTTCCCATCAAGAAGGTGAAGGAGATGGCTGACAAAATCTCTGGGCTTCTTTCCAGCTCTAATCCTTGGCCAAGCCCTTTGATTATGCCCAGGAACCAAGGGGGATGAGAGACAAGGAGATGCCATGGGCTGCTCACCCCCCTCCTCTTACCTCTCCACACCTGCAGGCTCAGCCTTTTGGTGCCTCCTGGACATGATGCCCATCAAGAATGAGATGGGGGAGGTCGTACTTTTCCTCTTCTCCTTCAAGGACATCACTCAGAGCGGAGGCCCAGGACTTGGCCCCCCAGGAGGCCATGGCGATAGTAATCATGGTAACCTCAAGTCTGCAACTCTGGGGAGATGGCATGAATGGTCAGAAGCCCTTGCCCAAGGGCACCCAAGCCCTGTCCCTACTCAGCCTCATGGATGTGTCCCCACTTACTGCCGTACCCTTCTTCCCAACAGAAAACTCCCTTGGCAGGAGGGGAGCCAGCTCAAGACTTCGATCTGCCAGGAGGCAGAGCCGTACTGTCCTACACCGACTGACCGGCCACTTTGGCCGCCGGGGCCAGAGAGGCATGAAAACCAATGTGAGTCCAATCTCTACCCCAACATCTCCCAGACATATTTCTGAGGCACCCTTGCTACTGTGTCCCCGTTTCCCTGTCTGTCCAATCTCCCTCCAGTCGCTTGTTCCTTTGTCCGCCATTCCTCATGTATGGCTCTCTGTTCTATCCCGTGTTCCCCTACATCTCCTTTCATCCCCCTCTTCCTTGCCTCCTTGTGACTGACATTACCCTGCTCTGATGATGCCACAAAGGTGGGGCTCTAGCAGCAATTACATTACCCACCTTTGGGTCTTAGGGTTACCTCGTGGGGGCTATGAAACCACGTTAGTGGTCCCAGGGAGAAAGCCCCCACTGGGGCCTGGCATCTGACCCTGTGTACCACTCCTAGGACCCTGATGAAGCCATGGGTCTCCAACCTTCTGAGCAGACTGTTATGGCAACAGGGGATGGGGTATGCCATGTCAGCCTCCCCTCCCCCCTGGGATATACTTATCCTCCACTGCATTCCTAGAACCCAAGAGGATCTTGAGGGAGAAGCTAGTGACCCCTCAAGCTAGGGCATTGTCTGACTGGTCATAATCACCTTCTCAAGAAGGGTAAAGGTCAAACTTTAGAAATACCCCTTGCACGTGCGCACACACACAAAACATGATTGATTCCAAAGAGCAGTAAATTGGCAGAGGAAGAAGTGTCAGGTGTCAGCTGCCAACCCCCACCTCCTGCACGTTCTACATCCTCTCGTGGCTGTGCTTGCAGTGCCCACTCCACCCCTTTCCCCATTCCTTACCTCTCCCTCCCCCAGCTTTGGCTCCTGTTTCCCCCAAGTGTCCCCAACCGCCACCCCTCTCCCCTTAGAACGTGTTTGAGCCAAAGCCATCAGTGCCCGAATACAAGGTGGCCTCCGTGGGGGGGTCCCGCTGCCTCCTCCTCCACTACAGCGTCCCCAAGGCCATCTGGGACGGCCTCATCCTCCTCGCCACCTTCTACGTTGCTGTCACTGTCCCCTACAATGTCTGCTTCTCGGGTGATGACGACACCCCCATCACGTCCCGACACACCCTTGTCAGCGACATCGCCGTGGAGATGCTCTTCATCCTGGGTTAGACCCTCTGCCCCACGTATCCTGGCGGGTGGGCTGGAGAGACCCACTCACCCAAGCCTCGTTTCATCCTGGGTTTGCCAGACCCAGACATTTAGAGCCCACCTATTTCTGGGTCTTTATGTCCTCATGGTCCATGAGCCCTGCCCCTGATCCCTGGAGCCTTCAGCCTTTAGACCTCTCCTCTTTTAAGAACCAGTCTGAAGCTCAATCCATCATCCCCATTCCTGCCTCCAACACTATCCTGAGTCTTACCCAAGGTACCTTGGCCAAGGTCCCTTCGTAACAGCTTCTTGCATCCCCAGATATCATCCTGAACTTCCGCACCACCTATGTGTCCCAGTCTGGCCAGGTGGTCTCTGCTCCTCGTTCCATTGGCCTCCACTACCTGGCCACCTGGTTCTTTGTTGACCTTATTGCTGCTCTACCTTTTGACCTGCTTTATGTCTTCAACATCACCGTGGTGAGTGATCCCTGTCCTGCCTTGCAGCCTAGCCTGGTAACTTCAACACAGCATCTCCCATTAAGGGACCCACCTCAGTCCCAGACTCAGCCATCAGTGAATATTTGCCAGGCATCTGTGATGGGCAGAGCCCAGTGCTAGAAACCAAGAAGGATCCCAGAGTGTCTGCCTTCTTGGGGAGTTCAGTTCACAGTCTCTGAGGGAAGCTGAGACAAATGAAAAGCTAACTAGGGCTACCAAGGCGGCATTGGTCTGCAGCCAAATGAGCGGCACTTTTCACATTTTTATTTAACAAACAACGGATGAGCATTTAGCTGTCTGCAAAGCACTGTGTAAGTCATGGTCACTGTGGAGGAGAGGGATAAGGATTCAGCCACTCGGCAGCTAAGCTGGTGGAGACAGCAGGAACAGAAGAGGTGAATGGACTGCAAGACGGGGCCCAGGTAGTGCTGCTCGGGGGCTGGACGCAGAACTAACTGACCTTGGAATTCCAGGCTGGAACACGGGCTCCCACAAAACTGTTCTGAAATCTGGATGTTGCGAGGAAGCCAAAGCTTGGCAGTTGGGCAGAGGCTGGCGTGGTCTGGGAAGGGTTCCTGAGGGAGGAGGTGAGAGCTGATCTAGACCCTAGACAGAATAGTACCCAGCTGGCAGGAGACAAGGAGAGGGAACACTGGGGGAAACGTAGCAAGCCAAGATGAGGAGGTAGAGGTTGCAGGGCGGACTTGGAGGCAGAGAATCCCAGGACTGCCTGGAGCCGCCCTGAGTGGTCAGCTCTGCACCCAGCCAGCAGATACTAGGTCTTCTATGGCCCAGCGAGAGGGAGTCCCCCCCGGTGTCCCCAGACCCCCCTGAGTGGGGAGGTGGAGAGCAGTCTCCCCGTGTGCTCCTCTGCCTGCCACACTCAGCTATAGCGGGAAACCACCTACACGCAGCCGGATTTAACTAGCCGCCAACGGGCTGTGGGCCTCTTCTCCTGGCTGTGTACACGTGTGTGCATGCTCCCACACACGTGCATGTGGGTGTGTCTGCCCTGAGGCTCTGGCCCTTCCAAGTGGAGCTCCCCACTCCTCCCCTGAGTGTACCCCCACCAGGTTTGTGCCACCAGGCAATGCCCCCTTCTCTGGTAGCTTCAGGAGCACTTTACAGTTTACTAAGTTCTTTCACACATCATCACGTAGGAACCTCTCATTAACTTTTCAGGGCAGATTCTCATCTCTCTCTTTCTCGGAGGTAGATGCAGAGGCTCAGGGAGGTTGACTAGCTTGTTGAAAGTCACACAGCTAGCAATGGCAGGCAAGAGACTAGAACTAGATCCCTAGACTCTGGTCTAGAATTCCTTCTAGCCTGCCACCCTGCTTCCCAGGAAACCAGTGTACCTGAGTGGATGGCCTGGCACGAGGGGAGAGGAGGAGCCATGCTGGGGCTAGACAGAAGCAGAGCAAAGATGGAGGCTAAGTAGGCACTGGCAGAGCCATGGACTTGAAGTGAGCCAGGCCTGAGACATCCTGGTCCATCAAGGAGAGGAAGGCCCCAAGGGAGTAAGGCCCAGGGGTGGTGACAAGGGGAAGCCTTGAAGAACTCAAGGTTGGAGTCAGGAGCTCTGAGAGCTAGGGGCAGGCGTTAAGCCCTGGAGTGCTTGTTCAATAGCTAAGTTGTGTCTGCCTCTTTGAGACCCCATGGACTGTAGCCTGCCAGGTTCCTCTGTCCATGGAATTCTCCAGGCAAGAATACTGGAATGGTTTGCCATTTCCTTCTCCAGGGGATCTTCCTGACCCAGGGATCGAGCCCGAGTCTCCTGCATTGGTGGGAGACTTTCTTTACCACCGAGCTCCCTGGGAAGCTCCTAAACTCTGGAAAGGGTCCGTCAGAGTCACCTCCTTTCCAACTCCTTTGTCTAAAATTAGAGAAAATGGCATGTGACTCAGGAGCTGTGTAGGGCCAGGGCTACAGGGGATGCTCCTGGAAGCCCCTGAAGGGACAGTGAGGGGCCTTCATACAAAGTTCCACAGGTGCTACCCCAGAGGCCCCAGCCCTAGCCTCCAGGCTATCCCACCCAGAGCAGTAAGAACATAAGCCCCCACCTGCTCATCATGTCCAAGACTGGAAGGGCTTATCAAAACACAACCAAAACAGTCATAGTTAATACCAGCTAATCTTTACAGGGCCCTGACTAACTTTGGCAGCTCCCACCAAACCCTGCAAGGGCTGGGGCCTCACAGTCTAAGTACCCTGCTCTCCTCTCAGCATCCCAGCTGCAGCTGATCCATAAGGGATGAGGTCCCTAAACCTTCCCCTGTCCACAGCTGATTGTACCTAAGACACTGGGGTCTTTAAGCAAGGACCAGAAATCATTATGTCTGTTGTCCTGCCTCTGACTTGCCGTTTTACCAGCCAAGGTGCTAAAAGGCAGTATAGCACAAAATGGACTCTGGTGTCAACTCAGATTTGAATCCCAGCTCCATGATTTCCTTGGTCTGTGACCTTGAGCAAGTCACCAGCCTCTCTGAACCTTAGTAGACTCTTCTGCACATTGAGAATGGTGATGAAAATTAGACTGAAGGCGTTAAGTTTGTTTTTATGAGGATTACAGTTACTTAGCCCAGTGCCTGACATACATAGTACTTGCTGTTAGCCATTATCAGGGTTGTGTTGTTGCTGTTTTTGTATTGGTCGCCACACTGCATGGCTTGTGGAATCTTAGTTCCCTGACCAGGAATTGACCTCTTGCCCCCTGCAGTAGAAGCGCAGAGTCCTAGCCACTGGACCGCTAGGGAAGTCCCCATGATTAGTTTCAGTATCATGCTGTCCCCCTTGCATTTCCTGGTCACCTTAGCACAGCAAGGATCCTTTTCGTCAGGCAGCCTTCCCTAGCTCCAGGGCACCTGGGGGAGGGGGCAACGCTGGGGGGCCAGCTGACAGCCTCCCCTGGCGCACCCACTCCGCAGACATCGCTGGTGCACCTGCTGAAGACGGTGAGGCTGCTGCGGCTGCTGCGGCTGCTGCAGAAGCTGGAGCGGTACTCGCAGTGCAGCGCCGTGGTGCTCACACTGCTCATGTCGGTCTTTGCGCTCCTTGCCCACTGGATGGCCTGCGTCTGGTATGTCATCGGGCGCCGGGAGATGGAGGGCAACGACCCGCTGCTCTGGGACATCGGTGAGCCACTGACCCCCAGGCTTTCACCAACTACCTCTTCACCTGCCCTGTCCAGGCAGGCCCCCAAGCTGACACCCCCACCCCCACTCCATATTCCTCCATCCCGTATGGACTGCATCCATAAGCATGCAATCAAATAGATGATCAAGTCCCAGCTCTCTGTGCATAGGAAGCACTTAATAAACCCCCAGAGAGTGGAAGGGGCACCTAAACAGTCAGCAGTGTAGGGAGCCGGTAGCCTTGAGCTGCAACCGTAACCACTTCAGGGCGGGGAGGCCCAGACGCCAGCTGCTCCTCACATTTCCTGTGCAAACCTCCCCTCACCTCTGTAAATACTCCCCTCACCCAAGGTCAAGTGCAGGCAGCTCAGGGAAACCCCATTCTCCACTGCTGGCGCAGCGAGGGCTCCTTGCATCCCTCCACCCGCTAGGCTGGTTGCACGAGCTGGGCAAGCGGCTGGAGGTGCCCTATGTCAACGGCTCAGCGGGCGGCCCGTCGCGGCGCAGCGCCTACATCGCCGCGCTCTACTTCACGCTGAGTAGCCTCACGAGCGTGGGCTTCGGCAACGTGTGCGCCAACACCGACGCCGAGAAGATCTTCTCCATCTGCACCATGCTCATAGGCGGTGAGGCGGGGCCTGCCAAGCCCAGCGTGCAGATGGGGAAACTGAGGCCCAGAGAAGGCAAGGTGTCCACCCACGACCAGACACTGGGAGGACATTCGTTCATAATTGTTTGCTCAGCACCTACTACCTGCTGGCCTTGGGGGGAACGGCCACAAACCGGAGGGTTGCTTGCGAAAGGGATAGGAAGCCAAAGTTCATGACCTAATGGGGTAGGGCATGAGAAAAGCATCAGGTGTGACCCGTCTCAGGACCACTGCTATTCCCTGCCCCAAACCCAGAACCTGGCATCAGGTAGGCACTCAGAAGCCCTCTGGCTCTCCGGCCCCTCCCTAGGAGCCCAGAGACTGGTCCAGGGCAGGGGGCTCGCCGTGGAGGGCGGGGGGTGGGGGTGGGGAGGTGGTGGAGGCCGGAGGGGTGGCCGCCCCTGACTGCCCGCTGCGCGCCACAGCGCTGATGCACGCCGTGGTGTTCGGGAACGTGACGGCCATCATCCAGCGCATGTACTCGCGCCGCTCGCTCTACCACAGCCGCATGAAGGACCTCAAGGACTTCATCCGCGTGCACCGCCTACCGCGGCCACTCAAGCAGCGCATGCTCGAGTACTTCCAGACCACGTGGGCGGTCAACAGTGGCATTGACGCCAACGAGGTAGTGCGTGGCGGGAGGGCGCCCCGTACCTGCGGCGCAGAGGTGCAGGAGCGGGGAATGGGGTCGCGGCCTCTCAGGGTTTGGGATGGAAGCAAATGGGTTGCAGGGAAACGAAATGATGTTCACAAGGACACACACCTACTGGAATTCACATCCCTTTGCTTTACCCGTGACAAATGCCATGGTCGAGTGTCTGCTTGCGGCCAGCCTCTGCGCTGGACACAGGAGTCCTGGGGATGATTACCCCCAGCCCTTACCCTGGGGGAGACAGCAGGCTGGTGAGGGAGACAGCCTGGTAAACAGAGAGTTATGCAGTGAATGGGACTCTACTGGAGAGAGTGGGTGCAGCAGCGCCATCACTGTGTCTGAAACTCGACGTGTCGGGGAGGTGGCACAGAAAAGTGAACATCACGAAGGTTAAGAAGGAAACTGGCCTGCTACCAGAAGGCCATTCCAGGCAGAAAGAACAGTAGGAACACAGGTCTGGAACTACTGATGCCAAAGAGCAGAGCGAGTTCAGGGAACTGAAACTAGTTCAGCGAGCTTTCAGGAAAGGGCCTGTGAGCACTGCGGAGGGAGGAGCGGCAGAGGGGTGAAGAGAGGGTCTTGGGAGCCGGGCAGGCTGAACTCAGGGATGGCCTTGGATTTAGATTTTGTCCTACCACATTTTTAGGCTCGGGAGTAACCCGAAGATCCAGAAAGTCTTTTTTAAAATTGCTTTGGCTGCACTGGGTCTTTATTGTGGCCCACAGGCTTCTCTACTCAAAGTGTAGGGGCTCTGAAGTCGTGGTGGGGTAGGAGTGCTTGCAGGCTTAGTTGTGGCATGTGGGATCTTGTTCCCCCACCAGGGAATCGAACCCTGGCCCCCTGCATTGAGAGTGTGAATTCCTATCCACTAGACCACCAGGAAAGTCCCCCAGGAGGTATTTCTGAGAGCAGGAGCCTGGGGACTGGTGATCAGCTGGTTGCAGGAAAGAAGCTCAAAGGGATTCTGGGTTTCTGGCTTCAGCCAAAGGGTGGGATGGAGGCATTACCCAGGGAAGATTGGATTTAGGGGTGAAACTGAGAGGTCAGGGTTGGGCCATAATGAGGGTGTTGTGCCTGTGGGGAATCCAGGTGGAGGCTGCCCCATGGGTAGGTGAACACACAGGTCTGGACCCGGAGGTAGGGCTCCAGACTCACGGGCAGGGGGTGGGGGGGGGTGGAGGGGGTAAGTCTTGGAGCTGGTCGCTATGATGCAGGGAGAGCGTACAAAGTAAGAAGAAAGCTGAGGAAGTAGGTTGGCTGAGGAAGAGGAGCCTGAGGGAAGTAAGTGGAACAAAAGGGAGAGGTCAAAAAAAAAACCGGGGGGGTGGGGGGGAGAGGTCAGCAAGCCTGAGTGGCCAAGGGGCTCCAGGAGATGAGGGTGGTACCATGAGCATTAAGTTCAGCCCCCAAGAGGTCACTGCTAATATCCAAGTTCTAGTGTAACCCTGCCTTTTACAGATGGGGACACTGAGGCCTAGAGAGAGAAAAGGGTTTGTCTAGAGTCCACAGGGACTTCTGCAGAGCTGACTTCTAATCTCCTGGCTTGAAGGCTGACCCACCAGGGATGGTCTGTGCATACATGGGGTTGAGTCACTAGGATGTGTGTGCGTGACCAGTGTGTGTAGCCATGGGCAGTGGACAGACAGAAGAGCTAGTCTCTGCCCCATGACTTGGGTTGGGAGGTCAAACTGAGATAAGACACACAGAAGTCTCCCTGAAGGTCAGAAATGGGTAATTTGAGCTCTGTCCTTGAAGACAGCTCAACACATCTGTAGAGCTCAAGTAGCTGCTGCCGGGGGATGACCAGAATGACCTATGCCCCCTATGCAGTTACTGCGTGACTTCCCAGACGAGCTGAGAGCTGATATTGCTATGCACCTGAATCGGGAGATCCTGCAGCTGCCGCTGTTTGGAGCAGCGAGCAGGGGCTGTCTGCGGGCTCTCTCCCTACACATCAAGACCTCATTCTGCGCTCCTGGCGAATACCTGCTGCGCCGTGGCGACGCCCTGCAAGCGCACTACTATGTCTGCTCTGGCTCACTGGAGGTGCTCCGCGACAACATGGTGCTGGCCATCCTGGGTGAGGGTCCTGCCTCCACCTTCTCCGTACCCCGGAACCTTCCCCCAGAGGCCTTGGGAGAGGCCAGGAATCTAGGGACTGGATAGCTGGTGTTCTGGCAAAGGAGTACTCTCTTTCTCAGTTCCAGCACCTACCACCATCCCCTTTTGACCATTCCCCTCAGACCCTTACCTCATCCCATTGGCCATCCCTGAACCCATCAACCCTTCCCCAGTGACTGTTCCCCCAAATCAATTCTCCCACTATACCATCTCCCAACACCTCTGACCCATCAACTCTCAACTCCACTGACTCTCTACCCTTTAACTGACCCCTCTGGCCATTCTGTATTGATCATCCAATTCCATGGATCGTTCCTCCAGCCTTACTGACATCCCCAACTGACTGTCTTCCAACTTCACCAGCCATTCTCCACCGACCTGCCAACTCTATTGATTATTTCCTCCAATTCCATTGACTGACCCACCTTCAACCATCCTTCAAACACACTGGCCACCCCTCACATCCACTAATATCATCTGGGTCCCTCTGCCCTAGCTGACTGTCCCTATCCCTCATCCACAGGAAAAGGAGACCTGATTGGGGCAGATATCCCCGAGCCTGGGTCAGGCACAGCTCCAAGCTGCGTGCTGAAGACCAGTGCTGATGTGAAAGCACTCACCTACTGTGGCCTGCAGCAACTGAGCAGCCAAGGGCTGGCCGAGGTCCTGAGGCTCTATCCTGAGTATGGAGCTGCCTTCCGGGCTGGCCTGCCCCGGGACCTCACCTTCAACCTGCGCCACGGCTCTGAGACCAATGTATGTAGACCCCTATGGCCTCTACCTCCTCCGAGTTCACCTCCTTCAAACTAGATCCTCCCCCAGCCCCAGAGAGAGCCTCATGAATTCCTTCCACCCTGAAAACATCATCTCTCAACCCTGGGCACCCCTTCCATTGCCCCGCCATACTTAACATCTTCAACCCACTGACCCTACTCATCATGGACCATCATCCAACCCCATGGACCATCTCTCACCAACTCTACTTCCAACTCAACTGACTCACCTCCTGTTGGTCCCCCTTCTGCTCACTCTAGACTCCTCAAAGGAACCCCACTTTAAAAACAATCCCCTCTGCATGCTCCTCCTCCATCAGTTCCCTCCTTCTTTGGACTGGGTCTCCTCCCCTGGGGCTTCTCTGCTCCACTCACCAAGTGTTTCCCGGGCCCATTTTTGGTTTAGGCTCTGGGCCACATCTGTAGTTTTCACCCTAGACCTTGGTCTTTTACTGCTTTTCAGACTTATGTTGCCACTCGGGAGTTGTCTGAGTCGGAGTTGGGGGTATCTCTGACTCAATTCCACAAAAAGGCCTCACATTCTCCAACCCCACCACTCTGATGGGCGGGACTAGGAGGTGCTGCACTGGGGGAGTGGGGAGGTGTGAGTCAGCCGGAACCCCCCTGTGTCCCTGCAGGGCCTCTGCCGCTTTTCCCGATCCCCTCGCCTCTCCCAGGTACCGTATCCTTCCTGGGTAGGGTTGAAGTCACATGCAGAGAGGCGGGGGCGTGGCGGGGGGCACCTTTCCTTGACTGCTCTGCTGCAGGGTGAAGGGAGAGGGGATGGGGAGCAGCAATGCCAGTGGAGGCTGTTGCTCACTGAAGGGGCCTGTTGTTGATTGCCCTGTGACATCAGCTGCGTCCTCTACCCACAGCCCCGTTCAGAGAGCCTGGGCTCCTCCTCAGACAAGACCCAGCCATCCATCACAGAGGCCGAGGCTGGGGCCGAGCCTGGCGGTGGTCCCAGGCCCCGGCGGCCCCTCCTGCTGCCCAACCTCAGCCCAGCGCGGCCCCGGGGCTCCCTGGTCAGCCTCTTGGGGGAGGAGCTGCCCCCTTTCTCAGCCCTTGTCTCCTCTCCTTCCCTGTCCCCAGCCCCTTCCCCTGCCCTGGCTGGCCGGGGGCACAGCCCCTCCCCTCATGGCCCCCCCAGGGGCTCTGCTGCCTGGAAGCCCCCCCAGCTTCTCATTCCCCCACTGGGAACCTTTGGACCTCCGGACCTCAGTCCCCGGTGAGATGCCAGCCTCCCCTGCCTTCCCTATACCCCTGCTGGCTTCCAGAACCTTCTCTGGGCTCCGTCCCTGGCATTCTGACCAGTGCTCCACCCTGCCCTTCCTGATCCACCATAGCTTGCAACCCCACCCCTCTGTGACGGCTGCTCCTCCCCAGCTCCCCGGTGCTGCAGCCCCTTTCACCCTCTGCCTGCTCTGCCCTGCTCTGGCCCTTACTCTCTGCCGGCGGGACTGATGACCACTGCCTCCACCCCAGGATAGTGGATGGCATTGAGGACTCTGGCAGCACGGCAGAGGCCCCTACGTTCCGGTTCAGCAGGAGGCCTGAGCACCCTAGATCTCGCTTGCAGGCCTCTCCTGCAGGTAAGGGCCAACAGTGGACTTCAACTCACAGTCACCCATCCATCCATCCATCCATCCATCCATCCATCCATCCCACATATAGTAAGGGCCTACCAGCTTCCAGGTGCTCTACTAGGAACATACAGATGAACCAGGCCTGGCCCACACTTAGCAAATGCCCAGTCTAATGGAGGCAATACCTGTGTTCTCAGACGCATGGTTCCAGAGCAGAGTGCTAAGAGCCACGACCGAGACAAAAGCAGGGCTCCTAGGAGGGAGAGGAGGGAGCCTCTAACCCTCCTCTTAGAGGAGGGGACACTTGAGGTGGGCCTTAAATGGTGGGTAGGAGTTTGAGTTGCGGAACAAGGCAGTTGGTGAAAGGCACATAGGCATGACCAGAAGAATGGTTGTGTTCAGACTCCAAGGAGAAACTTCGTGCCTAGAGCTGGGGGTGGGTGGGAGGTGGGTGGGACGTGGGGAGCAGTTGGGGAAGTGATATGGCCTCAAAACCAGCCTGAGGAGCTTGGGTTTCTCATAATCCTGACCCCAGAGCATCCTCTCCCCTTGTTCTGCGCATGCCCAGTGACAGGAGGGCCCAGCCCAGGCTGCAGACTCAAGCTCCCTGCACTCACCCAACACCCCTTCTCCCCACTCTGTCTGCAGGGCCCATGCCCAGCCAGGAAGCCGCCCCTGAGGCTGAGGAGGTGAAGGAAAAGGTCTGCAGACTGAACCAGGAGGTTAGTTGGGGCCTGTTCCTCTCCTCCAACCTTGGGATCAGAGATGTGCCTCATAGAACAGCATTAACAAAGGGTTTGGAGCCAAAGTCCTGATTTCAGATATTCATGTTAGCTGTGTGACCTTGGGCAAGCCCCACAACCACTCTGAACTTCAATCTCCTTCATCTGAAAATGGGGAGATAGTTCTATGCACGAGATGAGGGCACATACATACCTGGTTAATCCCTAGCGGGTTGTGAGTACTCAGGGAAGGCTGCATCCCTGCCTTCCAGCTGACTCAGGAGGTCTGGCTGGAGAAAGAGGGCCTCTCCACCGACAAGGGATTTGCTCCTGCAGGGACGTTGCAGCTACCCCCACCAAGTCACATGCTCCAGTCCTTCCTTCCCTCTCTTCTTCCCCACCCCCCCCACCTGTCTGGGCCAAGGACTTCGGGGCATAACCCCAGGGGACCTGGACCCTCCCATGGAATCCTGGTGGGAAAGAGCCCAGATCCTGTTTGCTGAGGCTGAGTCTCCACCTCCCCCTCAGGGATTTCAAAGCCACATCCACAGCCAGCCCTCGGGAGTGGGCCTTCCCTGGGTTCTGATAAACATCAGGCATCCCCAGGGGTGCACCTGGGTGGGGCGGGGCCTGGGGCAGGGGGTGGAGCCAGCCCTGGTTCTGTAGGATTCTAGGTCAGTCCTGCTTAAGCTGGCAGTTCTCCTAGACCAGTGGTCCCCCAACTTCAGCGACCATCATTATCCAGAGAACCTGTTAAAATGTGGATTCCTGGGCCTCACACAATTTGGAACATCTGGGGTGGGACCCAGAAATCGGCATTTTGACAAGTTTTCCAGTTGATTCTGTAGTTCCTGAAATTTGAAAAATGCTGAATAGACACTTGAGTTCCTGTGATGTATCACCTGAGAGTAAGCCTGCGTCTGTCACTTCACAGTTGTGCAGCCTCTTTGAGCACATTCTTCTACATCTTATAAAAGTGTGTGCGTGGCAGGAGCGAGGGGGTGGAAATAGCAATAGCTGTCGTCCCAAATCCTTTTTTGGAAAGAGGCTGGGGTATTTACATCTAGACAAAAATAACCCCTGTCCTGTCTTCTTCTTCGGAGGGTGGCCATGAGCAGATTGGATATGAAAGAACTTTGTAAACTGGAGAGGGGAGCGCACGTAGGAGGGGTGATGACTGTTGCGGCACCTGGGAGACAATTTGATGTGTTTTCAACAGATTTCCCGTCTCAACCGAGAAGTGTCTCAACTTAGCCAGGAACTTCGACACATGATGGGCCTGCTGCAGGCCAGACTGGGTCCCCCGGGCCACCCAACAGTCTCGGCTTGGCCCCCACACCCTCCTTGCCCACCTCAGAGGCCTCCGTGCAGTTCTCCTTATATGTCCGGACCACCACCTGGCCTCCACGATACTACTCGGGCTGAGATCCACTGCCCAGCCAGTGTGGGGACAGCAGAGATGGGGGCTGCCCCCCCCAGCCTGAGACCCTCTGTACGGTCCCCCTACCCCTCCGAGCCTGACCCTCTGGGACCCTCCCCAGTGCCAGAGGCCCCGCCTCCAAACTCAAGCCTCATGAGGCACAGCTTCCGGTCCAGGTCAGACACGATCCACTGACACTGGCCATGGGCCCAGGCCTGTCTGGGGTGGGTGCTGCTGCCTGCCATCCAGGGAGGGGCTGGGCCCCTTGGCCTCCTGCCTTGGGTCAGCAGCCACCAGCGGGTCTGGTTGGCTCTGGATTCTCTGACCTTTTTTAACCAAGTCTGGTCACTTGTGACTCTTCCCTTTTCCCAAACCTTCCTCTATTCTCCTCTGTGAGGGGAGCCATCTGAGGCCGTGGAACCCAACAGGCATGAGATGGACTGCAGTGCCCATTAAGCTGGGCAGATGAGATGTCTGGCTTTCTCCCCAGGACCTGGAGGCAGGTAGAGATGGGGGTGGGGTAGGGGAAGGGCCCCAGATCCAGCCTAGGAAATGAAGACTGAGGAAAGAGCAGGCAGGATCTTGGTGTCTACAGCAAGAGATTCCAGTGCGGAGATAGCTAGTGATACTGTGAGGTCTTTTGTCCCAGCCCCCAGTTCTCTGCTGGAGATGGGAGTCCTAACCACTGGGAAGTCCCCTGACTGGCATTTGAGTAACCCAAGACTTCTTAGGCCTCCAACCATCAGCCCAAGGTGGAGGGTCTCCCTTTACCCCACAGCCCACATAGGAAATGAGCCAATGACCCTAGATATGTATTCTTTGACTTGCACAGCATTTTTATTTTTTTTTCAAAATACAAATGAGTTGCCATATTAAAAATCAGGAAAGTTCACATAAAAATCCAGATATTCTGGGAACTTCCCTGGCAGTCCAGTGGTTAAGACTCTGCACTCCCAATGCAGGGGACCCTTGTTCGTTCAATCCCTGGCCAGGGAACTGGAACCCACAGGCTGCAACTAAGACCCAGCACAGCCAAAAAAAAAAAAAAATTCAGATATTCCAGCTTCTCTAAACAAATTACAGAGATCTGGCAATTCTGGACCAACATTGCACCTGGCAATAATTAGTTGGGGGGTGGGGAGGAGGAGCTGTCCTCTTTGGATGAGGCCTGCATTCTCCACGTCTTTGCGATCCCCAGGTTCCTAGATCATTTCCTGACACCTCGCTAGCTTCCCTCCTTTGAATTCTTTATCTGATCTCTGTTGGTATCTGAGTTTATAATCCCTGCCTTATAGTGTGCTTCCAGGTTCCTTTGCCCCAGTGGGTGCTTTTCAGGTCAAGTAATGTCTATTTCTACCCCTGGGCCTGGGGCCTGTCCACATCTCTGTTTATGTCTCTCTGCAGGCCGACGCTGAAAGTGGTCTCTTCTGCTGCCAGCAACCTGAAACAGTCCCAGCAGCACTCCTTCCCTTCCCCCACCCCTAGACCTCAGCCATGCCTGTTCTCCCCCTTCCAACATCGTCTCACTCAGGGCCTTCTTGAACATGCACCCTGGTTTCCAGCTCTCCTTTACCACCCACCACCCTGGGCTCACTTTTGGATAGGAAATAAACTCTTTTATTTTTGTAGTTGCTGGCTCTGGCTGTTTCTGGGGGCTGGTGTGATAGCCCCAGGGCTTTGGAGGAGCTTACATGATAGTCACTCCCACACAGTACCCCAGGGCCCTGTTACTGTCTCTAGGAGGGCAAAGGTGCCAACCAATCCACTTGGCACCACATTCACGCCACCAGGAGCCCCTGGGATGAGGCAGAAACCTAATGAGTCACTATGGGCCCGTTATACCCACCCTCCCTCCAACCTGGTCAGAGCCACAGATTCAGACAGTGTGTGGGAGGGACAGAGCCCTGACTCAGGTACACCTCCAGCCCTGGAAAGGTGGCCCAAGGGACTCCCCACCAATCCTACAGTAACTGATCCTGTCCTTCTTGCAGGCAGGGTACAGCAGGGTCTGGAGGAAACACTTGTCACCGATCAAGAACCTGCTAGGAATCCCACTCTGCCCCATCCCCTCTGCTCTCCTAAGCTTGCTCCTCCTTCTGAGTTTTCACTACTTTGATGATCACTGCAGGGGTGGGTGTTATGGATGCTGTTAGAAAAAGGCACCCTGGTGACCAGTTAGAACTAGATGTGGGCAGTTTTGTGGCAGGTTGTCCCAGAGAGGTTGCCAGGTCGATTCTCCAGCTCAGGTTCCAAAGTGTGATTGGTGTTGGCTGGTAGCATAGGAACGATGCCCATGGCTGTCTCTGGGGTGAACTTTGATTCCATACAGTTTCTGAGTAGTGTCCCTGGGGATGGGATGCAGAAGTAGAAGAGATACTGGTTTGTGCTGAGGTGTCAGTGGGCGGGGGGGGGGGGGGGGGGGGGCGGGCAGAAGCAGAAATGGTCCTAATTCATACTGTGTTGTTGTTCAGTCACTAAGTCGTGTCCATGTCTGACTCTGCAACCCCACAGACTGAAGCACACCACAGGAACAGAAAAAACAGAAATAGTGCTGATCCATATGAAGGGCAAAGTGGGGCAAACAGAAGTGGTTCCAATCTGCATTTATGGAAGGATGGGGAGAGCTAAGGCAGAAGTGATCCGGTTCTGTATTTGGCATCAGAGAATAGAGGAGGTTCTGGTTGGGGAGGGGAGAGGCAGGGCAGAGGCGGAGGTTGGGGTTGAGCCAAAGGCGAAGCATCCTGGTTAACAGCTGGGCAATAGAGCTCTCTCCACCCAGTACCCTCCAGAGAGCCCTTCTGATAGCGATTCCATCATCTTCCCATCTCAGAAAGTCCCTAACAGCCGGGCTACCAGAACTGACTTGGCCTTAAAGCGCCGAGAGGCTTCTCTGGGCTAGCGAATGCTGAAGACTGGTCCACGCATCCTCACGTGCATATTCACTCACACCATGTTTTTCCTTTCCCAGTTCTGCACACACAGCCTTCTGCCCTGTCGCAACGCTCTGCCACTCGACTCCCCTCGGGCGCCAGGAACCCGCGATGACGCGGTCGGCAGGCCTGGCCTTAAAAAGTTCCCGGCCGGGCTCCGCCTAGCCGGCAGCCGGCTCCACCCTAAGCCTAAGTCCCAGGCTGCCACCGACTCCTCCCAAAGCTGCGAACTACAAGTCCCGCCATCCTTGGCGCGCTCTCTCCTGCCTCTCCCTCACCCTAAGCCGGCGCGGCCAGTGAGTCGGCCTAGAGTACCTCTCATTGGTCTCTCCGCCCTGTCAGTCACCTGAGAGTACTGAGGGGCGGGTCAGAGGTGGAGATCCGGATCCGGAGCGGCTGAAAGGCGGAAGTGGAGGCCGGAGCCTGGGACACCGCCGGGGGGAGAGGAGCGGAGCCTGTCCGAGCCCCGGCCCCAAGTAACGCCGCCGCCCCGGAGCCGCTGTGAGTGTGCCTGACCTGGGACCCAGTGTCTCTTTCGTGTTGAAGCCTCTCCGGGGCAGTCTTTGCTCCCGCCCAACCCTGGCTTAGGGAGATACTGATCCCTCCCCCGACCCGTAGCCCCTTCTTAAGGGACTCCCCAGGCGTCGAGCCAAAGCTAGGGGGTCTCTTCTTTCCTTCCCTCATCTGCCCTTCGTGAGCCTTTGGAAATCTCTGTGGCTCTTCTCTGGTCTGTCTGGTCCGATTGTGGGCGGGAGAGACCCTAAGTTCCTCTCCCTCTGCTCCCAGAATTGGAGGAATCTTTGTCAGGTGTGAAGGATCTTGTTCTCCTTCTCTTTTAGAGGTAGCCCGGAGTGTTGTCTGTCGCCTTTTTCCTGTGTCCCACTCCCCATCCCACAGAAACAGTTGTCCCTCCAGCCCTGGAAGAATTTTATCTCGATTTCCTGGGGCTGGGGCGGGGTGGGGGTGGGGGTCCTGGGTGAGACTGCTGCCACAACTCCCTAACTTCCTCTCTCTCCTGAAGCCAGAGAGCCACCCAGGATCTCAGCAGAGTTTAAAGTCTGGATCACTCTTTAGGAATGAGCTGTCTTCTCCTTGTCTCGCCCCCTCAGCCCCTGTCCTCTGGTTGTGTTCTCTTGAGTGTATCGCTCACTCTTCCTGCCTCTCAACAATTTAGCTGAGGTTTGCTCAATCCTAGCTACAGATCACATAGATCAGGGTGGCTCTGCCCATTCATTATCTTCTCTCTCCCCTCCTCCTCCCCACTTGCTGGAGTCCCAGCCCTGTCCTCCCAGAGCACGTGAGTGGTTCCAAGCTGCCTCAGAGAGGACTGCTCCTCCTGGGACTGCTGTCTGTTGGTCTTTAGGGAAAAGGGAAAAGACCAAAAATAAGGAGTCTGGAACTAAAGAGTCCTGGGCTATCTCTTTCCCATCCCTATACAAGTACACTACCTCCTTGATCAACAGGTCTCACCACTTTCAGTCCCAGGGTCTATCTCCATTCCCCTCTGGGCTTGATCACATAAATCATAGATTACAGAGAATTAAGTTGAGGTCACAGTAGCACCTCTGGATTCTTAATGTGTTGATTTTTTGTAGCCCAAGGAATTCCCACACATGCCAGAAAGTGCTGATTTCCCCTAGCTTTTCCGAGAGACTGTACTGACATCTGATCCTTGTCCACTGCTTAGGACTTAGGTGTGTGAAATGGCTGCTGTCTCAGACCAAGCTGGGAGGTTCTTTGTTATGTGGCCAAAGTACAGGCCAGAGACTGTACCTTAATGAGTGCAGCCTGACTCTGAAGGCCGTGACTGACCCTTGCTATCAACAGTGGCAGAAGGGAGGAAGACCATGCAATCTTTGGGAATTTCTGAAGCTCTTCAGTGTTCTGGGCCATCTTTACTGCCCTTGGATGCTCCTTACAAGTATTCCAGTTGTTTTGCCTTGAGATCTGTTTGGCCTGTTTTGGACAGTGTCTGACTCCTACGAACTTTCGAGCTAGACCTAGGATGCACTTATTTCATTTTTTATTGAACCACAAAAAAACCTTGTTAGTGTCAACAGGCAGGTCACAAGCTCTCTCTCTGTCTCTGAACTTCTTTGGAGGGTTGCTGGAAACGTGTATGACCAACCTAGTTTCTCTAGTCTGGCCAGTCTGTGTTCCTGAGGGGCAAAGCCAGAGAAGCTGGCTACTCCCTGGCCATTGGTCTCTGACCAAACTTACCTCCTCAGTATTGGGGTCTAGTTGCTGGAACTCTGGGAGTCCCGG